ACTGTACAACTATTACCTTAGTCCCTAAAGTCAGGAATCCTGCTAGCATTAAAGAGTATAGACCTATTTCCTGTTGTACTTTATTATGCAAAGTGATTTCCAAGGTTTTAACTAAGAGGTTGCAAGGAGTTATGGATACACTGATTGATAGTACACAGTCTGCATTTGTTCCTGGCAGAGTAATCACAGATAACATCATCCTTAGCCATGAACCGGTGAAAGGATATGGAAGGAAAGGGGTATCACCTAGGTGTATGATGAAACTGGATATGCAAAAAGCCTATGACTCAGTTGAATGGGCTTTCATGGAATAGATACTGAATGCTTTGGCCTTCCCAGAACAGTTTGTGAGGTGGATCATGACATGTATGGAAACTGTCACCTATACAGTACTGATTAATGGTACATTGACAAAGCCATTTGAAGCTAGGAAGGGGTTGAGACAAGGGGATCCAATTTCTCCATTCCTATTTGTATAGGCAATGGAATACTTGACAAGAAGCTTAAAGACATTGAATCAGATCCCAGACTTCAACTATCATCCCAAGTGTGCAAAGATGCAAATCTTACAACTTGGATTTGCTGACGACCTTTTATTGTTTTGCAGGGGTGATATAGGATCAGTCAAGTTACTGTTCCATTGCTTCATGGAGTTCTCAAAAGCTTCTGGACTGGTGATCAACAAGAATAAAAGTTCAATATTCTTTGGAGGAGTCACACAAGATGCACAAGAGGAAATCCTAGAGTTTCTAGGGATTCAGAGAGGTGACCTGCCAGTTAGATACCTAGGTGCTCCTCTAAGCTCTTAAAGAATATCAATAGCTCAATGTCAACTCTGATTGATAAAATAGTGGGCAGAATAACTTCATGTTCTGCTAAATTTCTGTCTTATGCTGGAAGGATCTAACTGATAAAGAGTGTGTTGTTCTCTATCCAAACTTATTGGGCACAAATCTTTATGCTCCTTAAGAAGATCACTAAGCTACTTGAAGCAATCTACAGAAATTTTTTATGGATATGAGAAGGCAATGTGTCAAAACAGGCTCTATTGGCATGGGAGAAAGTCTATCTTCCCAAATCAGCAGGGGGATTTAATATCATGAACATAACTATCTGAAACAAAGCTGCCATATGTAAACAGTACTGGAACCTTTGCAAAGAAAAGAAGAAGTTGTGGATACAATGGATACATAGCTACTACATCAAAGATAGGAACATATGGGAAGTCCAACTGAAGCAAACATCATGGATGGCGAGCAAGATCATGAAAGCAAAGAAAATATTTATGGATGCAGGATTCAACTATGATGATATCACAAAGATGAACAAATATTCGGTTAAACACATATATCACATACTGCGAGGAAAATTTGACAAAGTAAGCTGGAGAAGAGTTGTTTGTCATAATACAGGATGCCCCAGGTGGATTTTTGTATTAATTATGACAGCACATGGCAAACGGTACACACGAGACAGACTACAGAGATGGGGAACACAAGTTGATCAAGAATGTGTCTTATGCAAACAAGCTAGTGAAACCATTCAGCATCTGTTTTTCGAATGTCCATATGCAAATGCATTGTGGAGTAAACTGTTAGTATGGCAAGGGATCAAAAGACCAGTGTATGGATGGGATGAGGAACTAAGATGGGCTGAGAAGTGGACTAAGAGGAAAAATGCAGCAGTAGAATTATATAAAATGGCATTAGCAGCAACTGTGTACTATGTGTGGCAAGAAAGAAATGTTCGAATTTTCCAAGCCAAGGCAAGAGGATGGGAGATAATATGCAAGCTGATAATACAGGAGATTCACTGTCGAAGTAATAAGTATATAGAGAAAATCCTACATAGTTTAGACTGGTATCCAATGGAATAGATAGGAAATGTGTAAATAATAGAAAGGTGGTAAGGGGGTGAAGCATAGGAAAGTAGGAAAATATGTAAGGGTTTTTGATTTACTTGTAAATATTTCCCTGGTAAATGAAAGTTTTAATTACCAAAAAAAAAAAGTGAGGGAAATGACGGGTGCAAAGAAGAAGAAACAAGAAAGAGAAAAAGAAAAGAAAAAGAAAAAGAAAAAATTAATTAAGATGATACTTTTGGGGGTTTTTACGCTGTCATCGAGTATAAAATACATCAAGCGCCACATCAGTCAAATGTGATGGTATTTATTACCGTTCAAACGAGCCAGGGGAGTCATAAGATACACGCAAAGTATAAGGGTGCATCTGGTAAAGTGAAACAACCTCTAATAGGATAATTATTTGTTATCCCTTTGAATATTGAACTAATTGTATCACTCTGCATCTAACCATTTGATAGAGATTGCGGAGACATTTTCCCTTTGCTGGTAAGAGTAAACTAAACTAGTGTTAAAAAAGAAATGGAAAGAATAAACTAATAGTAGTTGCCTTTTTTACGATATTACAAATTAATGTTGTGCATTCAATGTTATTTATTCGGTGCTATGCATGGTTCCTTGGTAACTTCTTATTTGACGAGGAGAATCACAAAAAATGAATCAACTAATGAAGATTAAAAATTTGGTCAAGAGGAAGAAACTTAATAATATTGTAGTAGCCGTTCATGGTTATTCTGATAGATTAATCTTCCAATATGCTGGCTTCAATATTAACTTAATATTTACAGTATACATTACCTGATTAGGCTAAAATCTTTTACACCACCAATGTAGAAATATTAAATATTTCTATGATTGTTGTAACAATATTGTTTGGCCATAGCTCATGAGAGAGGAGAATTGTCTAGTAACAATACAAGGCGGGGTAGTTTGGAGTAGACAGAATTGGGCTTTCCCTTAAGCAATCATGAATGAGGAATTTACATAGAATACAACCCTTTAAAGACTTATTTATATTTTCTACAACTGCTTAAAACAAGTTAATTTTAGTACAATTTATTTTAAAATCTTACCTTTTTATGTACAACTTTTCATATATATATATATAGTATACAAACATTGAAATGAAAAAAAATAAAAATATTATTAACAAATATATTATACATATACTATGTATTATTGTTTACTTTCTTTGAGATTTTCATACCTAAAACATATCCTTATATATCTCTTTGAGATTCTCTCTCACCTAAAACGTATCTATCCGTATTAAGTTTTCCCCAATTTCTCCATAAAGGATTCGAGTATATCCCAATGTCCCAAGCCTCTTCCCCATTATTAAAAAATATATATCATGTATACTAGTAAAAATATAGTATATAATATATTTTATAGTATAAACTTATATGAAAATGTATATAAGTATACAATACAACATACCTTCATTTAATAGTATCCCTTTACTTCATCCGATGTATACATTGGGGGGGGGNATAAACTTATATGACACTTGGTATATATAATATAAAATACATCATATCTTTGTTACATGTTATATATTGATTATGATCTATTTTGTTCCGTTTTTTTGGGTACTTTTTATTTAAAGATAATTTCTCCTACTATTAGAGAAGGAGAATTTGATAAAGGATGGATTGTTTGTTGAGAATGTGGCGGAGAAGGAGAATACAAATAAAAAGGTAATGGATATTTTCCGTATTAAGTTTCCTTATATATAGGAATTGTGATGGAGTAATTTTAGGGAACAAATGATTTTATTAAATATGTTTGATATTCAGTTTCCTCGTTTATAGGAAGCTACCGTATTTAAGAGCTATTTCCTTTATTCTTTTACGGTGTTTAAGTTGTAAGATATGTTAATTACTTTATAGTTGTAGATTAAGAAATATTTTATGATTCTACATGTATTTATGTAAACTTCCCGGTATTGTACCAAAGTAAAAGATTGTCTCACCATAATTCCATCTCGCCACATTTAAACTCATCTTAGTCACAATATTTATAGAGGAATTTTCAGAAACCACTATTGTTTAGTGGCTATTAACTTCCTATAGCTATCATATACATAATTACTTCCTATAGCTACTATTTAGTTGATACGGTAGTGTATTTGCTGTATTCGTGCTGCTGTATTAGGAATACAGCAACAAAAAGCGCCTAAAAATCAGGGTAGTCCAGCTGTACGCACATGTATTCACATGTATTCACGCCATGTATTCATGAATATAGCTGCAAAAAGCGCCTAAAATCAGGGCAGTCTAGCTGTACGCGCATGTATTCACATGTATTCTCGCGTTGTATTCATGAATACAACAATAAAAAGCGCCATGTATTCATGAATACAACAGCAAAAAGCGCCTAAAATCAGGGCAGTCCAGCTGTACGCGCATGTATTCACATGTATTCGCGCTGCTGTATTCATGAATACAACAGTAAAATGCACCTAAAATTAAGGCAGTCCAGCTATACGTGCATGTATTCACATGTATTCGCGCCATGTATTCATGAATACGATAATGACAATCACTTTAAAAATAGGTATGTCCAACTGTCTAAGAGAGAAGAAAAACATAAATAGCGTATTTCATGCCTTATTTCATGTCTCAATGGTAGTATATACCATAAATACTTATTTTGCTATAGAATATAAAAGGTAGCTATAGAAAATAATATTTTAAAATAATTTTAATTTATAATAAATAGGGTGTATACCTTTGCTATACGAGGTAAAATTTCCATATTTATATGTATATGTGCTGTGAGAATTTCTCATTAATTGATTAGCTCTAGGGGTGGCAGACGGGCGAGTCGAGTCGGATATGGGCTGATCGAAAATGGGGAATGTAAAAAACGGATAAAGTATCCGACACCACGTAAAGGAGACCTCTATACTATATAACCATGTCATAAAGGCTGATGACATTATTATGTTGAGTAGATTGGTCAAAAAAATTCTACAACCTCTGCTTCTGAGGAACCTGTGACACCCCTTTTCTGGTGCAAGCAAATATAAAAGTAGAAGACAAACCAAAATAAAGAAATGGTTGCACAATATGCCATTGTTCTTCAAAGGTTCCTCAAGTAATATAAAGATACTCGAGAAAGATGTCTCAGAAACTTCAGATGGAAATGATTGAAAGCCTTAAATTAAAAAGCAGCTTCTCATCATGAACATGGAAGCCTCATATAATGATATGATACATGATTTAGATAGTTTACTACAAATAATAAATATCAAACTCTAGTTGGAAACAACCTGTGCAGCCAGACAATCAAAGAGAAAAAGGGGGAGGAAAAGAAAAAGAATTACATTTACAGTGGCTTATGATCCGATTAGGTGAGATTTTCTATACCAGGTATAGATATGAATATCCCTTCAGAACCAGAAGGGGAAAGTACAAAATTTAAATTGAATAAATTGCAAAAGAACCCGTATGTGTTAAATTAGGTTCAACTTGTTTTGAGCCGTTTGAAGGCATGGACAGACTCCTCCCTTGTACTTGAATCTATCAACTGTGGATTTGATCGATTGCTTGTGGAAATGTTATCACCCTGGGAATAATGTCAAAGTTTAAGGTTGTTACTTATGGCTTGATTCGTATCTTAAGTTTCAGAATAATATTAATCAAGAACTAGAAAATTAGTGGAACTAAAAGAACTTCAGGTACCTTAAAATTGGACACTGAAGCATTTAAGCTATCATTTGCTCTTTTCCCAAGATCAATTTTCACTGACATATTGGCTTGTGACAAATCTACTCCAGAATTCTGCAGTGCTTGTTTCAATGTGTTCAACAACCTGAAAGGTTTTGATTAGATTGCAGAATTATGCGTAGTAAAGAGATCCAATAAAGAACAAAAGTATCAACGACAAAAGTACACGACCATTTTTTCCTACTGGAAATCCTTAACATCATTGTTTAATGCCATAAAATATTGGAGGCAACTGAATCTAGTTTCAGATCCTTGGAACTCAGATAATGAGCTAATATTCTGTTCATAGCACTGCCAAAGTATCTGGATTTATATCAACGGTTGCTTTGGAAAGATTAGATCACAAACTTTTCCAAGATTAGAGAATTCTTACCTTTGAGAATAGACACTGGAAATGCTGATTGTACCACCTTCTATAGACACCTCTTGGCCTTTTAGCTTATCATTTGTAACGGCACAATCAGTCATATTTGATCTGCTAAGCCAAAATTGAGATTGGGACTTCAATTCCAATGAGTCGGCATCAGGTGCCGGTCTAGACTGTAGCGATGCTATGCTAGTACTCCCACAAAATGGAAATGCGTTTGGTTGCTTACAAAGTGTTGCTGTCTTGTTTGTTAATTCAGACTGCTGACTACTTTGTTTCACAGCGGAAATTCTGTTTGGCTCCAATGTCTGTCCATTTACAGGACTTGTGGCAGAGATTGCAATTTTGCTCTCGTCAAACTTTCCAGCACATATAATTGCAGGAGTAGATGCACTATTTGTTCCTTGAGATTGATCAATGAAACCTTGAGTCATCCGCTGGCACTTATTCTGCTTTCATGGATGAAGAAAAGTCACTGACTGCATTAGTGAATGTACTAAGAGAATAGCCATCTTACATGGATTGGATGCTATCTACAAAATTGAATAAATATAATCATGTCCTTTTTGATTTTATGCATTCTTGCAATATAAACAAGTAAATAGAGTTCCACCATTTCAATCATCATATTTCAAGGGCAAAATCCCATTGGTACTTACTCCCAGAGCCACATAGATGGTGATGGACTCCAAACATATCTAAGAATCATCTATCATGTGCTACCAAAAACAATGTATCTCGTACTTAGCATCCTAATTGTTTATCGGTTGGTGACCAACTCCTCCATCTTAATACACAATATTAAATTAAATGTTGAGATTTTTGTCCTAACTTCTGTGATGATCCGAGTCCAATGACCTTTCAAGGGCAGGATAATTAAAACTAAAGATCTAGAGAAGGAGAGAAAACAATGAGAAAGATCAGAGAAGGATTTACCCATGGTAATGTTGAAGGTTTACTCTCCGAGCCTTGATATGACCCCTCATACGTGTGAACTTTCTCTTGTAGGAATTGAATATATTCGACAACCTACGAAGACATTTTACTTATTCGGTATATAATTCTTGTGAACATAGAATACTTAATCATATATGACATTCAATTACCTCCAGCAAGAATGATGCTTTGTCTCTCTTTTGGTCACTGTGAGGGATGATCTCTCTCAACTTCAGAAATCTGACAAAGAAGTTCCAAATGCAATAGTTCAATTTTCATTGACAATCATGTCATTGTGACTATTAATAAGTCCGGTAACATAGTAGCAGATTAACCGAATTTAGAGATGTTAACATGAAAACCTAGTATGGGTTTAGCAACGGAATAGAACTTTCAAACTAACAAGCTTCTTGATATGCCTCAGATCACACAACCATTCTCCTTCTCACATAAAAATAGTCACTAGTCACTACATCACAAACTTTCTTTTCTTTTATTTTCTCAAAGCTCTAAATTATGATTGTAAACATGCCTGTCATTGATCTTGCTTCTTCTTCTTTGCTCTGTTGCTGAGTGCTTCGAGCGCGGAGTATTTGGCTTCTGATCGCTGCTTTTTCCATCGACTTTCACTGATAAATCGCCTATACATAGTTATCTTTCTGTTAAAGATGCTAAATTCAGTGTACTGCGAGAAGCAATTATCAGAGTTATTCAAGACAAACTTCTGGAGTGTGAAGGTGACTCTTTCTTGACAATAAACTCTTCCTCTTCATCATCATCTTCTTCATGTGCATTGTTAGCTGATTTCATCATTTTGAGGAAACTCTGATTCTCAACAGCTGATGATTGCCTGCATCGTAATTTATAGAGTTAGAAGTGGAGGCATAAGCACAAAATATCAAGAGAAATAAGAAGCATTCTTATGAATGAAGGCCAGTCACTCACTGAGCGGATGAGAGCGTGCTCAAGGTTGCAGTGTTATGATTATGATTTGAAGATAATTGTGATTGCCGTTCCAACGATGTCGTGGGTTGCCCTCCACCAATGTTGACATCTGCTTTTGCCAAGCACATAACAAGTGTTAACCGGAGCTGAAGTCTTCAAGCTTAACTCTCCACGGTTAATACTATAGTTGTCTCAGTGGAAATCAAAATGTACCTCTTACGACGTGTCTATCTCCAGCCACATTCTCCTTCCCTGTCTTTCCCTTTTTGATGGCAGATTCATTCCATATTGCGAAACCACTCCCCGAGTAAGAACTGCAGTTTGAGTTTCTATCTTCTCTATCAGTACTACTAGCCTGCGTGACAGCAAATATGTTTGTTTCTGGTGTTGGAATCCTTTGCTGCAAATAAGAAATGCTATAGGTGCCAATACCACCAGGAAGAATATGTGCTGCTGAAGGAGGCTTTTCTGTGGCCTCTACCTCAACTTTAGTTTCTGCTTTCCCAACTGTCTTCCTTGCTTGCTCCAGCGGTTGCAAGAAATCATGAGTTTTTAGGTAGCCACCTGTTTAGTAGCCATGGCCAGCTGAGATTATATTAAGGCACTAGAAGACATAATTGTCCATGTTAAATACCATGCATAATAATGAAAGATGATGCTCCTTCAAGAAATGAAGGAGCAAATGAACGCATTTTCTAACAAATCAAAAATGAAGCATAAGTGTTTATTGTGAGTTCATATTTACTCCATCTTAAAAATTTATGCGCACTCGATATTTACTCCAATCCTAATAATACAAGACATTGTCTTCACATACACATTTATTATTAAACAAAAATTAATTAATTTCATTCTCACTTTAATTTCGAACTTAACCACAGTAAATTAGTTTGATTTAATATAAACACAAGTATTTCACCGAAAAATGAGTTATAATTCCCACACAACAAGAAGAATTAACTTAAATAGCCGCCCACCCAACTGTTCAAACTAAAAATAGCTAACGAATGTGTAATATATATAAATTCATATATAATACGTATATAAACCGGGCGGGAAAAACTAAAAATAGCTAACAAATGTGTAATATATATAAATTCATATATAATACGAATATAAATCATATATACCGGCAGGGAAAAGTAAACAGTAAATTCGACCGACTATTTGCGTAAAGATCTCATTCAATAATTGCTGCTTATCACAGTCAAGGCCCACAAGATGGCCCAACTCTACGCATGCAGCAATCAGCGTTAGGGTCACGGGTGTATTAATTGCGACACTCGTGAGTACCTTATATGAATTTTCCCTTCTATCCCCGCCACAATTAACATCAGAAATCACATTTATACGAAATTCCAAATCTCCATTCATTTACTAAATTCGACGCCGTAAACTTTCTAAATCCAGACCTCGTAGCCAAAAATTGAAAACGGAAAACAATACAATATGACTGAGGAAAGAACAATTACAGTAAAAAACTAAAGGGGATAAAAGACTTCTAAATAGAAAAGATAAACCCTTGCATGTACTGAAGATTTACCTTGCGGAGGTCTTGGATCTTGTTCAATAGGTGAATACAGTGAAAGAAAGTCATGCGTCTTCTTCCTCCCTGCCACCAAAAATATATATATGGAAATCTAAGTTTTTTACTTCGTCTCTAAGATTATTCATTCAAAATTCCAGTTTTTTGGCACCAATAAATTAACATTAACTGTTACCTTCTGCTCCAAAAGTTCTGGACTGAGGCAGCTCCATTTAAGGCCAGAATTCTGTGTTTCGAAGAAACAAAAGGGACAAAATTGCCACTATGTACAGCAGAATTCAACTGAATTTCCAAAAGTCGTTGCGTAATTCAACAATTTCAAACCCAAAACTCTTCAAGTTCCAAGCAGATCCGCCTCCAACAGAAGATCGAAGGCGCATTAATTAGAAGCCGTCCCTTTCCAACAAAACTAAAAAATTGCCTATTGTTTGCCGATAATAATTCACCATACAACAATAACTATGTCTCAGTTTCGAACTAGTAAGGTTGATAATAAGAATTCTCGATATATATTCCGTTTTTTTCCAAAAATTCAGCTGCAGGGAATTCGGCTCCGTGAGAAACAGGATGCTGCAGGTTTATTCAACCAAATCTGCCAATCAAAATTCAACTGAATTATGCAGGAAAAACCTAAGAATTTTATAATATGGTAGATCCAAAAGGAAAAAAGAGGAAGATACGTACATTTGATGTGAATTAGTGATGGATAATGCATAATTCTGCTGGTATTCCTCGTAAAATGATGAAAACAGAATTTCTCAATTCCCTAAGCGTAATGATGAGTTAATCCCAACAGTGAATTTTTTTAGGGATTAATGGTAGGCCCTCGTCTTGATTAACGCAGCAAACGATGAACAACACACGCCTCGATTGCTTCCTTTCTTAAATATATATATATGAGAAAAAAGTAAAAGAAAATGGGTCTCAGAGATCAGAAGAGTTTCTCTCTCTCTCTCTGCTCCTCTTTGATGAGAGAAGTTTTAAAGGTAAACGTTGTTCGTTGTCGTTGGCTGTTACGTGCTAACTCCGTTTGGAATCAACGTCGTTTAGGTAACGTCAATGCGGCGGACTAACGGCGTTGGATTCACTGGAGGAAACTGGAAAGTGTGCAACTGGGTAGGGCCGTAAATATCGAATTACCGTATCGAAATAAAAAAATTTGATATTTGGTATTCGATATTTTGGTATTTGTATAGTATATAGTTTATTTTTAAATTTTTTTTAGTATTTGGTATTTTAAAATAAAATACCAATACCGTACCGAAATATATATTATTTTGCACAATACACATATTATTAATTATAACATAAATATAAAAAATCTAAAATTTTGTTTTTCTTTATTCTCTAAGTTCAACAATTAACTCTAAGCAAGTAACAAGACATTTCTAATGATCAAATTTATTCCTTTATGTATAATTTTCTCTCTATGAGTTGATATTTGCTGGTTTTGGACAAAACTTTTGTCAACAAACGTTTTCAGTTTTGTACTTTTGAGTACTTTAATTAAGAATATTACAGTATATGACTCTACGCACTAGTTAGTATTCAAACCGAATAAACCGAAGCTACCGAATTGATAAACCGAAACCGAAAGGACAAGAACCGAATCATACCGAATTTAATTAGGTACGATATTGTATAGCATTTTAAAAAACCGAAATATCTAAATACCGTACCGTACCAACCGATGAACATCCCTACATAGGCAGGGGTGGTTTGTACGGTAATGGTGTAATTGAATTATTTTACAATGTAATATTCGGATATACTTCTCTCAGCATCTTTACCTTAAAATGAAATTTTTTGTCCAATAAAAAGACACATTACACCGGAGCCTATAAAGTAATATGTAGACTCAAATATTTTACTTCGTACAAAATATTGCTCCCTCATATTAAATTTATATAACATTATTTTCTTATTAATTAACCGAAACAATAATATGTTTTATATTTAAAAGCAACTAAACCTTAATGATAAACGTTTACAGTCACACAAATATTATAACATATTTAAAATTACAAGTCTCAGTTGTCTTACTATTTTTTAAAATTTTATGTTGACGTAATATGATTGAACAAGTTTTTGAAATTTGTAAGCTTAAATATGTTATGAGATTTCTGCCTATAAAAACATATATCAGTAAATTCTAGGTCAAGTTAAATTTATATGTAATGATAGAAAAGAGACTTTTAAAACTAAATAATCTTTAAAAAAAACATGTAGCTGAGCGGGACAAATAAGAAGAGCAACCGAGACATAGCGAATGCTGTAAGCTTCTAACTGTGATGGCAGGTCACGTGACCTGGACATGCGCAATCCACATGAAGAGGAGTGAGTTGGCATTGACCCCACTTCTTTTAAATAGATTTAAGGACTTTAATGACTATGATTAGTGCACAAATCCCAACTAGTTATCCTATTGTAAGAGTTAGGGCTGTAGAAACCGAACCGGAAAATCAAACAGAAAAACTGTACCAAATCGAAAAGTCAAACCAAACCGATTAAGAAACCCGACTAGGTTTGGTTTGATTTGGTTTGGTATTAACAAAAAAAAAAAAATCGAACCAAACCAACATATAAATATATAATATTTTTATATACTTTTAAGACTTTATATAGAATTTTATTTACAAAAATTCTAGAAATATTTGGGATTCTCTTGTGGAATGTAATATTTAATAGAATATGAAGTACTCCATTTTTATTAACCTTAAATAATGAGTTACATGATCACTTTCTTATCAAGTGTTACTGAAATGCGTCAATTTCTTTGTTCTTCCATGTTCATATGTCAAGATTTATCAAATTCTTATATCTTTTTCGAATTTGAAGTGGTATTTCGATAATGTAAAATTAAATAGCACTTATCATTAATTAGATATCATAATGATTTTTATGTTTACTTATTAAATTCGTTTAACCTTGAAAGTATACATCAACAAAAAATTATTGTCAGGCGACTAAAAAAATAACTATCATGTGTTATTAACAAAATTCTACCATAAAAATATTTTAATAGATCATATGTTTGTCGATTTTCTTTTTAATTTTTACTAAACATATATTTGCTTATAAAAAGTTTAACAAAGTAAAACTAAAATAATATTCATGTAACAAAAAAAATCCGAAAATCCAAAAACCCGACAAAACCGGACCAATCTGACCCGATATAGTTGGTTTGGTTTAGTTTTAATAAAAATCGAACCAACCTGGTCCATGTACACCCCTAGTAAGAGTAGTACTGTCATAAGATCTTGTGTGAAACTACATAGGATAAAAAGTAGGCGTTTGGACATGAATTCCAAAAAAGAATTTCAAATTTGAAATTTCACTAAAATTTGAATTGAAGATGAAGTTGTGTTTGGTTATAATTTTTTGCCGATGTCTTTTTTTCAACATATTTTGCAACTAAAACCTAGCAATCTTCTCTTTTTTAAATTTGAAAATGCATTTTCAAGTGAGATTGAAAAAATTATAAGATTTGGATAACCAAACACCGTTTTAAAAAAAAATCATAAAGAGGGAAAATTTTTCTTATGTCGAAACAGGCTCTAAGTGTTAATGAAGCCAAAAAATTTAACCAAACTTAAATTGTGTTTTATTTTGATAGAACTTTTAGAAAAGATTATATTTCAGCTATAAAAATTCCGAGATGAAAGAAAAGATTGGCAATTTTATTTTATCAGAGTTATCGCCCCAAATTAAAAAATATTCTTGTGATAGGTCCTATTCCTGATAAAAAATATAGTGAAATAACCTTCCTATGACACTTGCTTGAGATTTGCATTCTTCTATATTGAAGCTAACTACTAGTGACTTATCCATCATTTTGATCAGTAAAGTTATGTATGTTTCAAAAAAAATATATAGTGTTATGTAAGATTATTGTGTGATTTTCGAAAGTAAATTATTGTTACATGAAACTGAATTAAATCAAATCATAAGCACCCTAAAGAAAATGGAGTACGGAACTAAAGCGTTGTTTTTTTGGACTCAAACGATAAAAATAGGTAAAAACCCTAACTGGGTACCATTTTATATATAATGCGGTTTTAAACTTTCCTGCCCTACCAATAATTCATCTGAACTTTATTGGCCCACCAATAATTGAGGCTATAGTGCACGCATAACAGGCGCTACATATATAGCGCCTATTATGCATGCGCTATACCCTCAATTATTGTACCACCGAGACTGGTATTTTTCTTATTTAAGCAGTTTAAGATTTGGTTAAAATCCATTTAGGATCCTTCAGGTCTTCCGAAATATTTGTTCGTTAACTTATTTTGGATTTTGTCATAATGTCCGAAAAGCAAAAAATTAGGGTTTCATTATATTGGGGGGTTGAGGTTGTGGTGGAGAATAACTCAGTACGCTATAGTTGTTCTCCACAGTGTCATGTTAAGTTGCCATTTACAATGGAGTACGATATATTGGTATCGTTGTTATGTAAATAAATGAGTGTGAGGAAACATCCGATTAATATTAAAGTAATCGGAAGATATCTGTATTCTGTTATTCCGCAAGGGGTTAGTTGTTATGCTGAGTTTAACATCGAAGACGATGAAACTCTGATAGATTTTTTGAGGACTTCGGATAAACACAGAGGACTTCTTGTGATAAAAATATTGGACATGTATGTCAAGGCTGAAGAGGTTCGCAATATTGACGTTCCACAAAATAGGGATAACCCTCAATCATCAGGTGATTGTTTTGGAGCAGCTTTATCCGAACAGGTTCCGTTTGAAAGAGTTTGGCCAGATCTAAACTTATCTTCACAGGCGAATGAGGAGCGAAGACATAATTTCTCCCCAATTTTACATAATCCACAAGCCGAGTGGTAAACTTTAATTTTCCTTTGTGTTACAATATTTCTTTTATGTATTGTAGTTGTATTAACATTCATATATTTCACAGGGGGTACTGGCCAGAAATGAATTTTACAAGTTATGAACCAACGTAGTTGGAATATGCATAGTTTTGGTGTGTTGGATCATAGTGGTACATCCGGGAGTCATCAGCAATAGGATAATGTGTATCATGGGATATCAACAGATTATGATTTGTAAGTTAAGTGATAAAGTTTGGATGAATTTGAGAAATTTATTATTTTATTGGTTGTGTAGTGAAAACGAGCAACTTGAAGATCCGGTCCTTACTCAATTGCCCAAAGACGACATATTTACTCGGGATCTGACAGATGCGCAGAGTCAGAAAGATGATAGTGATTATGACAACAATGTTGATGAGTCTGTAGATGACATACCCTTCCCCGATGAGAGTGATGATGATGAGGGCAAGAATGATGAACTTGATTTGACGAGGGAGTATGATCCACCTCCTGTTAGACTGAGAGCGAACGAGTCCCATGTGTCGTTTCATTCAAGGGAGATTCCCTACCTTGATCAGTTGCCAAGTATACCGGATGTGGATTCCCTCACAAGGGATCTTGATGAAATTCGGACAGCAATATGGGATGAACTAGACCAACGGTATTGTCAAAGAATATGCTTTTTACTGATAAAGCGCGCTTAAGCAGGGCGATGCGAATGTACAACATAAAAGAGTGTCGTGAGATCGTGGTTCATAAGTCATCTCCGGAAGTATACAAGGTTATTTGTCGTAGATGATTTCAAGGTTGTACATGGATGCTACGTGTGAGAAAGTTGAAAACAAATATGTGGATTGTGGGAAAATATATTGGCACCCACACTTGTGAAATGGACACATTCAGTGCGAATCATTTTAACTTAAATATTGACTTGCTTTGTCTTGCCTTGATTCCACATATTGAAGCATCCATAAGGTACAAGATTAAAGAGTGTATAACATCTTTCCATCAGGTATATGGATGTACCATTACCAAAAGAAAGTCATTTCTCGGGCATAAACGTGCGTTTGAGATTTTTTATGGTAACTCGAATAAGTCCTTTGCCTCTCTACCCA